GCTTCTTGCTTGTCACCATTTTTCTATAATGGGACTACGTTATGCTACTTTTATTTCTCTTCTAGGGCTCCTATTTTCAGTGACCTATTATACACAATAGAGAGTGGCAGGTATAGTGCTTTTGCACCTTCCTTTAGTATCCACGGTGATATTCCGACAGGTCCAACAGCTTTTGTTACGTCTAGTTCTAGCAGATGCCTCCTAATGTAACCTCTGGTAATTTCAAATTCTTCCATAACTGCTTTCTTTACTGGCACATCGCTTAAGTCATGGACTTTTCACTCCTCTTTTGTGAAGACATCGTAGATTCTATTGCGTTCTTCACATACTTCCTTGTCATTCTCTGTGTACCTGTCCTCTCCTTTTCTCAGTTTCATCACCTGTTCTTGCACTGTTGTTTTCCTCCTGATTTAGATATTGATCACTTTGGGTATTCTAGGCATTATTTGCTATATCATTTTCTCATAATCTCTCTGCTTCTCTTCTCATCCTGAGGTTCACATTCCTGGTCCTCGGGTATCTTCCTCTGTTCTCTGATGGTTTGTTATTTTTATAGTTTATCGATGCCCTTGTTCTTAATTACCTTGCTTCTTTACATGCATGTTTGAACCGTGAATTCCTCTTTTGTTTTCATTTTTATCCTTTCGTAACAAGATGAACTACTGCCTCCTGATAACTATGGCTGATGCCGTCTGTCATGTATGTATAGTCTTTTATCGGAGTTCAGTTTCCCATTGTATTTCTATTAGGAATTTTCTCATGATAGTTTCCCCCCTTCAGTATGCCAGCTATGAGCTTTCTGGCTCCATCTTTGGGTGGGTTATTGCTACTTCCATCAGACACTCTAATGTCAGTACACTGTTGTAGCTCATTCCCAGGAGGGGGGAGATAGGGCTTCTAATTTGACTTCTTTTATGTCTGACTTGTTCAGAGTGAATATAAGATCAGGTCTAGCTGGGTCAGCATTACCTGTTATGTGTGTGGGCTCCGTGACATGTTGACTTAGGTTTCTCTGGTTGTCATGCCCAATTGTTTAGCTCTCCAAGTATCTGTACCTCCATGTGTTCCTTGTTCTCCCAGTCTATCTTTCCGTGGTTGACGTCTTCCATGATTAACAGTCTGGATCCAGTCCTGAAGGTGACAAAACCTTCTCCCATTGTCATAGTGCCTGTTATATAATCTCTGAACTCTTCACCGCCCAAGATTTCCTCAAAATCCCAGTTCTCCCTTATCAGAAGGGCCACTCCTCCTCATCCTTTTCCTGAATTTCCTAAATTGCCAGACAATTTCGTTTCTGTGAGTGCTATTACATCAGGGGTTTTCTTCTTCTGATCTTTTCCCCGACGTTTGTTTGATTAGTTGTAATTTCATCAGTGTTTGAGTACATTACTTTGATGCGCACCTTTCTTCTTCTTGGACCTGAATGTCCATTCCATTCCCGCATGAAGTTGTTCTGTGCGCGGGACTACTTGGATGGTGCTGTTGTCTTGGGAGGTAGTTAACGGGTGGTTTGGAAGGTTGAGGGATGAGAATTGGGGAGCCTTTGGTCTTGTCTTATCTTACAGGGTCCGGCAGGGGAGGCCTAGGAATGGTGAGGCTGCCAAGGCCTGGGGGTGAGTGGGGGGGGGGGACAAGGAGGGTTGGGATCAGGATGTGTGTGTGTGTGTGTGTGTATGTGTGTGTGTGTGTGTGTGTGTGTGTGTGTGTGTGTGTGTGTGTGTGTGTGTGTGTGTGTGTGTGTGTGTGTGTGTGTGTTTGTGCACGTTCCTGTATATAATTGAACAAAATTCACCACGTTCAAAGAGCCTTGCCTAACGGGATTACCGAAAAAGCAAATCGCTGTTGTTGTTTTTGTTGTTAATGCTGTTTTTGTTGTTAGTGCTGCTGCTGTTATTGTTCCTGCCGCTGTTGTTTTTGCTGTAATTACTGTTGCTGTTGTCACTACAGCTACTGTTGTTGGCGCTGCTGCTGCTGCTGCTGGCAAGTGCTTGTGATAAAGAAATCCCCCTTCGATAACCGAGGTTTAAGTCTTATATAAATTCTGGCTGAAGGCATAATTTACCCAGAATTTACGATGATCTAGTCAAATGTTTACACATTATATACACAGTAAGCTTATGCTTCCTGCACGCCGTTGGGCTCAAGTATCTGAGTCTTACCCGGCCTCCCAGTTATCTCTATTATACACTCACGAAGGCTGTATTAAAATTGCTTCTTATACTAAATCGGCAAGTTAGTGTGTGTGTGTGTGTGTGTGTGGTGTGTGTGTGTGTGTGTGTGTGTGTGTGTGTGTGTGTGTGTGTGTGTGTACTCACCTAGTTGTGCTTGCGGGGGTTGAGCTTTGGCTCTTTGGTCCCGTCTCTCAACTGTCAATCAACAGGTGTACAGATTCCTGAGCCTATTGGGCTCTATCATATCTACACTTGAAACTGTGTATGGAGTCAGCCGCCACCACATCACTTCCTAATGCATTCCATTTGTCAACCACTCTGACACTAAAAAAGTTCTTTCTAATATCTATGTGTGTGTGTGTGTGTGTGTGTGTGTGTGTGTGTGTGTGTGTGTGTGTGTATTGTCCCAGAATTTAAGGACTGAGTTGATGATTGGGAGGCTACCGTTTTCCTCTCTCTCTCTCTCTCTCTCTCTCTCTCTCTCTCTCTCTCTCTCTCTCTCTCTCTCTCTCTCTCTCTCTCTCTCTCTCTCTCTCTCTCTCTCTCTCTCTCGTTTTTGGTTTAACTAAGAACAGGGTTCATAAGGGCTGTTAAATGACGTGCCTAGTGAAACTGCAAGCAAGACCTGTTATCCTACATCGGCTCATCTAAAGCTTGCTCCTAGAAACTCATTTATTTCACGAGAATGTACTTTGAAGCTACCACATAGCAAACTATAAAAACGGAACTATCATATAAGGAACCTGGTGAAACTGCAAGCAAGAGCTGTAATCCTTCCTTAACTCAGTTGAGTGTTAGTCCTAGAGGCCCATTTATTTCATGAGCCGGTTATATGCATCAGTAGGAATAACCTTTATTCATTAACATCATTAGGTAACACTCATATAAGGATGAGGATGAGCCTGTAGCCAGCTGTGTGTCAGATCCTTCATGTAATCAGTTGACCTGATCTCCCGTGTATCAACCTGTTAAGTGAACACGTTCCAGATGGGGGTCAGCCTAGATGTGAATGATCGCTGATGGACCAGCCCGTCCTCCAAACAAAGACCCAAAAGTGATTCCATCCACCCGCCAAACCCCCCTGTTTATGAATGAAAAATGGTTTACACACGACTCACAACTGATGACGTTCGAACACTTCTGGAACAAGTGTTTCACTGACGAATTTTGTTCGAATCACAACGCTGTAAATGCTTCACCCACGTACTACAAATACAAATAATCGCCAACAGAACCTAAACACCTAACCTAACCTATGCCTATATATGCACAATATGCTAATATATTATAATATTAATTTATATTTGAGAAAAATCCCGTTGTGAATGAACAGCATGTTAAAATTTATAAATACGTCTGTGGGGTCGACCGCTGGATGTAATGGACTTGAGTCAAGAACGGGTTGGATGGAGTGATGTTCTTGAGAAAGGCACTTCCAGCATGAGCCTATTGAAGGTTGAGAGCCTAGTGTTACGGGTGGCAACTACTGGTAGTCCATGAAGTTGGGCCAGGTACGGAACTTTGAGAGTATTGGCCTTGTACATAACATTAAGACCAACAACGTCACGACGGTGTTGCAGGCTCTGATGTTCAGACCGTTCCCACCAGACTTGGTCAAGACTAGAGATAAGCCTTCTGGCCCGTCTCTCCACTTTGTCCAACAGTCTGATGAATGATGAGGGGTAGGCGATCCAGTTTCTCTCTCTCTCTCTCTCTCTCTCTCTCTCTCTCTCTCTCTCTCTCTCTCTCTCTCTCTCTCTCTCTCTCTCTCTCTCTCTCTCTCTCTCTCTCTCTCTTTTATCCGACATGGTTGGTACACAAACAATGGGTTTAAGGTAGAAAGAAAATGCCCAAATGAGCCACAGAGACATTAGAATTAATGATCACAGTGTTAGAAAAATGAATATACAGAGAAACAGAGACCTTAAGCACAACCTACACAAGCCCAGCCAGGTGTGTACAGACTTTATAATTTGACACCTTTTATTAAAATCTTTTCCTGAAATTCTGTATTAGGTATTGCATCAAATGTCTTTGAACTCTCAGGCAATTCTCCCCTCACTGAAGACACCGGCGATCGCTGCGAGTGACTTTCCCCAGTACGTCATCAGTCTTGTCAGTACTTATGGTGTGACTTTATCTAGTTCCTTTACCCCTTTACGGGATATTCATGCCCATGCCGCCTCTTAAAAGGGGAGGGCCTAATCTTCATCAATCAGTCTAGTTCCTCGATGAGGTTCTTAGACTACCTCTGGCTATTACTAGCGTGTTGCTTAACTGTTTGTTGTTTGTTTACTCTTTCCCTGCGTTCGTACGAAGTCGTGTTTGTTTACACAGGTAAATATGTACTTACATGTATGTTCTTGCAGGGGGAGCTTCAGCTTCTGGACCCGGCATTTTAGTCGCTCGCTCCGTAATGCAATGGGTTGTATTTGTAATCTCTAAACCTGTTTGTAGAATGCATAGTCACTTTTCACCCCACACACATAATGGACAGACGTCCACTCTTTCCCTGAGCACCTCAGAGCTGGCGTCTCAGTCACCACTGTTCTCCACGGACTGGTGCAAAGTGTCCGGCCTCATAAACTATGGTCATGTGATCGGTAATCCTGAAGCCGGCCTCACTTTTTACACCAGATTCACAAAATTTATTACGTTCTAACTTGTTAAATGGTGCGCTCAGTCCTATGTACCCTCCAAGGCTTCACACTCGTAAATGCCTACAGCCCATCCTGACAACAGCTCGTTCTTATCAACTAAGGCCAATGGTCATTCTATGCGCCCGCCAAACCTTCTGTTCATGAATAAAAAACACACGATTCACAACTGATGACGTTCGGACATTTCTCGAGCAGCCCCGGACGACCTCTGATCGAGTCGCGGTTCTGTAAATGCTTCACCCACGTCCTTCAACTACCAGCCCATCGTCACAACTACCAGCCCATCGTCACAACTACCAGCCCATCGTCACAACTACCAGCCCATCGTCACAACTACCAGCCCATCGTCACAACTACCAGCCCATCGTCACAACTACCAGCCCATCGTCACAACTACCAGCCCATCGTCACAACTACCAGCCCATCGTCACAACTACCAGCCCATCGTCACAACTACCAGCCCATCGTCACAACTACCAGCCCATCGTCACAACTACCAGCCCATCGTCACAACTACCAGCCCATCGTCACAACTACCAGCCCATCGTCACAACTACCAGCCCATCGTCACAACTACCAGCCCATCGTCACAACTACCAGCCCATCGTCACAACTACCAGCCCATCGTCACAACTACCAGCCCATCGTCACAACTACCAGCCCATCGTCACAACTACCAGCCCATCGTCACAACTACCAGCCCATCGTCACAACTACCAGCCCATCGTCACAACTACCAGCCCATCGTCACAACTACCAGCCCATCGTCACAACTACCAGCCCATCGTCACAACTACCAGCCCATCGTCACAACTACCAGCCCATCGTCACAACTACCAGCCCATCGTCACAACTACCAGCCCATCGTCACAACTACCAGCCCATCGTCACAACTACCAGCCCATCGTCACAACTACCAGCCCATCGTCACAACTACCAGCCCATCGTCACAACTACCAGCCCATCGTCACAACTACCAGCCCATCGTCACAACTACCAGCCCATCGTCACAACTACCAGCCCATCGTCACAACAAAGGGCTGTGAAGTTCACAACTCGTTGATCAAATACTGACTGCATAAGTCAGTTTTTGACTTATAACTCTACATAAGTCAGCAGTTGGACTCATGGTCCGCCTCATCATGTTCGAAACTATAAACAAATCCACAAGGGCCGTGACGAGGATTCGAACCCGCATCCGAAAGCATCCCAGACGCTTCGAAACTATGACTCGACAGGTGAGTCATTCACCATCAGCCTGTAGTGTAAACACTTCCTACGTCAATATTAACCAAAACAACTTAAACCTAACCTCACATAGTCACCTAACCTAACCTAACCTAACCTAACCTAACCTCACATAGTCACCTAACCTAACATAAACACACATTATATAATATGTGTATAATGTATTAATTTACATTTATGTTATACACATATTATACTATATGTGTATAATGTATAATATGTATATAAATGTATTAATTTACATTTCAGAAAAATGTTTGTTATTATACTGTAATGAAGTTTCGTCCTGTCAGTTGGATGCTGACGAATGTCAAAAAAATAAACTTTACTAACTTATTAAAACCTAAGTCAGCATTTGACTTACTACTTGGGCTGGAGGATGGGTTGACAAACACAACAAAGCCAAAAGTCATAACCTACGCCTAAATATGCGCAATATGCTTATATATATAATTATATTAGTTTATATTTGACAACATTCCTATCTTGAACACCTTGTTAAAACTGATAAATTTGGTCTTTGGGGTCGGCCGCTGGACGGAATGAACGTAGCCTGAGGCAGCCCGTCCTCGCATACAAAGATCCAAGCTCGTTAATCCAGTCGCCAAACCTTATGTTTATGAATGAAAAGTGGTTTACACACGACTCACAACTGATGACGTCCGAACACTTCCGGAACAAGTGCTTCGCTCACGTCCTCTGTTCGGAATTCCCCCACGTGCTTCAAATACAAATAATCGCCAACAGAACCTAAACACCTAACCTAACCAATGTCTAAATATGCACAATATGCTCATATTTAATATTATTAATTTGTATTTGAGAAAATTATTATTTTAAATAAACAGCAAGTTAATATTTGGGAATGTGTCTTTGGGATCGACCGCTGTATGGAATGGACTTAGTCTGAGGACGGGTTGAGGATGAGTTGCCTAAATGTTCCTCAAGGTAAACTCATCCTTTATGAAAACTGAATGGTTATTTTTAAATGCAGGAACGTTACAATAATTTTAAGCCAGCTATTCAACACCATAAAGCTTGAAAGAGGACTGGTTGAGATAGCAATTTCCTATGCAACATGCGTTGTGATATCTGGCCCGCTCTTGCTGTAGATGTTCTCATACGATATCTCCGTAACATCGTGACCAATTTAGATGTCTTACTTTCCGAGGCATATATTTATATACTGTATTAACTGAGTTTCTTCCAACCTGTTCTCCAGTCGTGCACACTGCGCTCAAGACGTATTCATAAATGTTTAATGTACTGTGCAATTTGTGCAATTTGCTCAGATATCGATGAATTTTATTATATATTAAAATTGGGTGTATTGCTTGACCTGAGGTTAGGCTAGATAAAGGAAAGGGTAGGTTAGGTTAAGTGATTAGGTTATCTTGACAATTGTATATATTATTGATATATTATATTAATTATATCTACCTGCCCTCAGGTAGATATACCTGAGGACAAAGATGAATTCGTCAATTTTAATGTTCTGCGTATTTAAAATTTGTGTTTTTGTTCAATAAGAAGTAATATTATTCCATACTAGAATATGCTGAATAGTTTGATCTAGCTTTGGATAGGTGCTTAGATTAGTTTAGCTTAGGTTAGGTTAGGTTAGTTTAGCTTAGGTTAGGTTAGGTTAGTTTAGCTTAGGTTAGGTTAGGTTAAATGGTTATTAGTACTGTCGGCCATTATCGTAATTCATTCACAGGCCAGGTTAGGTTAGTCGTAGGTTAGGTGTAGGTTAGGTGTAGGTTAGGTTAGGTCAGGTTAGGTTAGGCGTAGGTTAGGTGTAGGTTAGGTTAGGTTAGGTTAGGTTAGGCGTAGGTTAGATGTAGGTTAGGTTAGGTTAGGTTAGGTTAGGTTAGGCGTAGGTTAGGTTAGGTTAGGTTAGGTTAGGTTAGGTTAGGCGTAGGTTAGGTGTAGGTTAGATTAGGTTAAGCTAGGTGTTTAGGTTCTGTTGGCGACTATTTGTGTTTGTGGTTCTTGGATGAAGCATTCACGGAGATGCGACTCGAACATAAACACAAACCGAGGCAATGTTCAAGAAAAATTTTGACGACATCAATTGTGAGTGGTTTGTCGGACGTTTTCAAACATAAACAGCGAGTTTGACGGCTGTTTTTGCGACCATTTAGCAGTGTTGACGAGGACGGGCTGGTTGATGAGGCTGCTTCCTGGAGGGATGTGTAACAAAAAGGAGGCCTGGTCGAGGACCGGGCCGCCGGGACGCTAAGCCCCGAAATCATCTCAAGATAACCTCAAGATAACATCACATGACTATAACAGGCGATGAATCGTAGTCAGGAAATAATCCCTCACTAGTGCAGACGGCGGTCAGAGGAGAGACCCAAGAGCCGAATCTCAACCCCTACAAAAAGCAATTAGGTGAGTTCAATTAAGTACCCATCAGAGCGCCTTCAGCAGCAGTAAGTTATGATTTAATTCCTCTTTGTCTCCTCCAAATGAAACATAATCGATTCCAAACGCCCGAAATGATCTTGATTGCAAACTAAGGTCTTAGCCACAGTTTCCAAATGGCACGAAAATTGCATAATTCGAACAAAGGCGCTCAATCACCAGCCGTACGAGAGCTTGTTCCTTGCTGAAACAAGGTCAAACACCATTAATTCGAAAATGACACGAAATCATAATTGAAATAAGAGCAAATTGTGTCGGCTCGTGCGGCCATTGTGATGGGGGGGGGGGTGGGAGGTAGAGGTTTCGAACACACACACACACACACACACACACACACACACACACACACACACACACACACACACACACACACACACACACACACACACATACACAGGGCCTCGTAGCCTGGTGGATAGCGCGCAGGACTCGTAATTCTGTGGCGCGGGTTCGATTCCCGCACGAGGCAGAAACAAATGGGCAAAGTTTCTTTCACCCTGAATGCCCCTGTTACCTAGCAGTAAATAGGTACCTGGGAGTTAGTCAGCTGTCACGGGCTGCTTCCTGGGGTGTGTGTGTGTGGTGTGGAAAAAAAAATAGTTAGTAAACAGTTGATTGACAGTTGAGAGGCAGGCCGAAAGAGCAAAGCTCAACCCCCGCAAACACAACTAGGTGAATACACACACACACACACACACACACACACACACACACACACACACACACACACACACACACACACACACACACACACACACATCGGGAATGTATGAAAGCAAAGGAGCTTAACAAAAGGGCGTTGAGGAACTTCCGAAATAACAGAACACCAGAAAGTAGAGAGAGATACCAGAGAACCAGGAACGAGTATGTTAGTGTGAGAAGAGAAGCTGAGAAAGGGTATGAAAATGATATAGCTAATAAAGCCAAGACCGAACTAAAGCTACTCCACCTTCACATCAGGAGGAAAACGGCAGTGAAGGAACAGGTGATGAAACTTAGGACGGGTGAGGACAGGTACACAGAGAATGACAAAGAGGTGTGTGAAGAACCATCTTGAGAGTGTTAGTGGACACCATACACCATCCTGAGAGTGGTGGTGGACCCCATACACCATCCTGAGAGTGTTAGTGGACCCCATATACCATCCTGAGAGTGTTAGTGGACCCCATACACCATCCTGAGAGTGTTAGTGGACCCCATACACCATCCTGAGAGTGGTGGTGGACCCCATACACCATCCTGAGAGTGGTGGTGGACCCCATACACCATCCTGAGAGTGGTGGTGGACCCCATACACCATCCTGAGAGTGGTGGTGGAAACAGATAGACACAATAGATGGAGTCACCAGCTGCCAGCACCATAACACAACCCACGACATAAGGTATGAAACCTTAAGGTATGGGGGCGTCTCCTTCCTCTTTACTCCCCCAAAAAAAAAAAAAAGGGTATGAAACGACCCATCGACGCTTCAGACCGTCCTGGGCCCTTATCAAGACCCAATTCGACCCGTTAAGGGCCCCCTAGGGTTGGCCTGAAACGGCGTGACTTTAATGACTAGATAACACAGGTGTTCATCCCCCCCCCCACCACCACACCCTCACCCCTCCCTAAAACCCCCAACTCTTCCCCTCTCAAACCACCCCAATTTTCCCCACCCATACACAATACCCACACTCCACTCAGCGTACTTCACTTATATTAGAGAATTCATGACCTGTTGACCCGAGGGTTTGAACTTGACCTCTCAGTCAGTCTTCCCACCTTCCTCCTGGGGCAAAGCAGAACTTTCCCTGATAAGTCAATAATTGCCTGCAAACATTGGAGATAATTCTAGTTTTTTTGTTTGTAAACACGCGCACGTGCGCACGCCCGCGAGGCTGTAAACACACACATGGAGATCTATATATATTCCATCACCCTTATTTCCCTATCTAAATAACTAATTTAGTATTGCATATTATGGAAAAAAAAAACTTAATCTCTCGTTACACTCTTTTTGCCAAAGAGCTTTTTTACGTTTGATATAAAAAAAATCAATGAAATCACGCCACTGTGATTTCATTGATCGCAATGAAATCACAATGGTTCGTGAAATCAAATCAATGAAAATTGCGATCTGACGCAATGACGACTACCCTAATGGAGTGTGAACACCATTAGGGAAGTAATGGACCCGCCATACCCATCAGAGTGTGGTCGGGTCAACTGTAAAAACCCTGGTTGGGTTCCGGTTTTGAGGCCTTGATAACCTCCCAGAGAACTCAGTAGAATTGATCGACTTTTGTACCATCGTGGCCGAGTCGGTTAAGGCAGTCGTCTGGGAATCACCAGAACGGTATAAGAAAATAAGCCAATATAAGATCACTATACTCGTGATCCTTTACCGT